GGTTATAAATATTGTAGTTTATTTGCTAACTGACTAGTAAGTGTGATTTGCACAGAGTGACCCCTCAATAATAGGTAATCACTTAAAAAATTGTCTTACTATATTAGCTCTCAGAATCCTTGCTTGTTTTCTTGCCCTCTTGAAGCAATGGTGACCTCTATACAAAACTGATGTTCTTACCTGCACTTTCAGTGTATGTATGCAGGATGAAAGAAATGCTATTTCAATATTACTTTGATTTGTAAACATGCTTTTACTATTCCATTTTACACTTCTTCTTCCCTATTTGACTGCCATCTCTCTGTCATTCCAAACATGCTGGGGGAAGACTGGTGGTTTATACAATGTATTTTCTATGAGTCCTTTATGTGGGAATCCCATCCTCTAGTTTACAAATTAAAAACAACATGATTTTCAACAACAGCCATTTAAACTTGAGTTTATTTGAAAATATTATATAAAATTATATTTAAATTATCTTTATGATTACTTTATGTTTTAAGGTGGTATACTTAAACCAATTAGAAAAGGAATATTTATATGTAGATAATTGAAACTATTCATAAAGGAAGAGCCTTGGCTATTGCTCTATGTCAGTGAAATTTAAGATTGGTATAAAGACAACTTACAAAGACTGCTGTGATTTGCTGCTTTAATTATGTCATGATGTAAAACTTTTCAAAAGTAGGTGGTTACATAAGATTGGCCCAGATTAATTATATATTTTAGCCTGGTGTTGCTGACTGGCCTTTTTTCCCCAAGAGGTCCATACCTATTAGTGACATTGTCTTTGCTATGCCAGTTCTTATTTGATCTAAGAAATCATCTAAATATTTTCTATATCATTAAGTAATTTATAGAGTAAAAACTTCTCTAACAATGTGTTTTTTTTTTATGTTTAAAGGGATATTTAAAACACAAACTCTCCTGTTTCTTTATCAAATTCCCCTGCCATCAAATATAAAAGGAACAGACAAAAAAAGTCAACCACAGGAATTTGTGAACAATATCTCTATCTGTAAATATCCAGCAATAATTAAATAAGACCATTTCACAGCAATTCCTCCTGACATTTTCATGAGAGACTGTAAAATACAATTGTACAAAAAATGACTAACAAGTCAATCATCATTCTGATCCTGGTAGTTCTCCATAGCTCTTTTACAAATGGAAAAATAACATGTAAATGGCAGTTGGTTCAAGAATGGCATCCACAACCCACAACATATGTTGTGAATTGGACACTGACAGACAACATCTGCACTGACTTCTACAGAGATTGCTCGGTTTTGGGTGTAAACACTAAAATGAATATTTTACTCAATCAAGTTGTTCCCCAGATTTGCCCTTTGCAGATTCAATTAGGAGACATCCTTGTAATTTCTTCTGATCCGTCTCTTCAATTTTCCAAGATAAATCTGATGAATGTTTCTGAAGCATCTTTCATTGACTGTGTACAAAATACCACAGCTGAAGATCAGTTACTTTTTGGTTGCAAACTAAAAGGGATACACACGGTTAATCCACAGTGGCTGAGTGTTGGCACACATTATTTTATCACAGTAATGGCAAGTGGTCCTTCACTTTGTGAACTGGGACTTCGACTGAATGTGACGGTCAAACAACAGTTCTGCCAGGAATGTCTAAGTTCAGAATTTTGCTCTGGGCACGGTAAATGTCTTAGTGAAGTTTGGAAGAAGACATATAGCTGCCATTGCCAGACTCCATTTTATGGAAAGTACTGCCAAGAATATGATACATGTTATTTTGGACCATGCAAGAATAATGGAAGTTGCATTAATAAAACAGAAAAACGGGGTAAAGAAGACTACGAATGTATCTGTCACCCACCATTTACAGGTAAGAACTCTTTGTTTTTAATTACACATTGTATTAAAATGTAAAAATAAACTGAATTCATAAACTGTTAAAAAAGCTATTTTTTTAAAAATGTAGATTCCATAAAATGTAATATATTTGCATTCTGTACATTTAAAAATCCATCAGACATTCTTTAAAATAGGCTTTTTCATATTGAAAACTTTCTTAGAAACATATGTGGTTATCCTTAAGTATCTTTCATATATTTTCCACATCCACTATTAATGTTTCATACATTAAAAATAATTGGATCATAATAATAGAAAATGTTTTAGTCACTTAATAAAGTTTCCAAGCTTATGGTATTTCATTAAGTAATTCTAGGTGATAATAAGGAAATAAAGAATGTATCTTGATAGAGAAAGTTAAGAAACTATGTGAAAGGGGGAAAGCTTTGGAAATGCTTGGTAGAGTTGGAGAAGAAAAAATAATTATGAGCCAAGAGAAATGTTTGTAATAAATATCAGTGTGGCATCTATAAAGTAAAAAAAGTGACAATATTGGTAAAAGGATAATATGTTAATGGTCAGTTTTAGCCAGATTAATGAGAGACAAAGACAAGGAAAATTTGATGGGTGATGAAGCCACAGGAATGGCAATTTAAGAATTTTGTAAATTCTGTTACCTAAGGCTGAAGCAAGGGTTAAAGGGAATATTAAGAATGTCCACCAGAGAATTTAAGAGGAAAATTTAGGTCATTAGAAGAAAATGACGAGAAAGATTGAAAAAATATAGGGAATATCTAGACTGTAGGGACTTTGAGAGAATTCTTTTGACATGAATTCCACAGATCTGACACTGGAAATTATAAGAGAAAAGATTAAGACCAGGATGATTAACCAGAGCAATACTTACAATGTTGTTAATAATAATAATAATAATAATAATAATAATAATAATAATAATGGAAAACAACTGATTGGTAGTATACTTTGGTCATTAAAGAGGAAGGAGGTTGAGAAGCAGATATATCTGGAGTGGACCATATCTGGAAACACCATACTGTGTTGGGCACATTTAGAGAACTTCACAATGGTCTTCTCCCATGTGCCTGGTGATGATTCTACTGGAGCTAGGCTTGAAGATTTCATTGAAGACTTTGACAAGACATTATTGGCTTTAGCACTCACCTAAGCCAATCTTGCACAGAGTAATTTTATAGTCCATGGTAGGGAAAAACAAACACCACTTCAGAAGTTAATTCTAAAACTCTCCACTGAATATTTTTCCGTAACTGTCATCAAACTGTTATTTGACTCTATTCACATTGATGACACCAATAACTCATGCTGTTGTAGATCAGATATTAAAATTAGGCAAGTTATACAAAAAGTGATAGCACTTAACAAACTGCTTTGAGTGAATGAAAAGGTGTTAATTGAGAATATCTAAAGCATACATTTTAACCTGTCCAAAGAGTTTTAAAGAAAACTTGACCACAGATTTTTTACCATGTACCATATATAAATCTTACTTATTTTTATATCAAGACACCAACATATGTATAATTACCAAAGAAATTCAGAGTGTTCAATTTATTTGTTTGCCCTGACTGCCACCAAAAAAAAAAAAAGTTTGGTTGGCTTAAGCAATAGAAATTTATTTCCTCACTGTCCTGGACAATAGAGGTCCAAGATCAAGGGTTTGGCTTGTGAGGTTCCTCTCCTTGGTTTGTAAATTGCTATCTTCTCACAATATCTTCACATTGATTTTCCCCTGTACATGTCTGTGTCCAAATTTTCAAATTTCCACTTCTTGTAAGGATACTAGTCAATTGACACCAGTCAAATTGATTAAGACCCATCCTAATAACCATTTTTTTTTAACTAGAGATTGAACTCAGGGAAAATTTTCCACAAAGTTAAGTTATAGTCTTAGTTTTTTTTTTGTTTGTTTGTTTGTTTTTAATTTTGTTTTGAGAAAAGCTTTTGCTAAGTTTCTAAGATTGGCCTTCAACTTGTATTTCTCCTGGCTCAGCTTCCAGAGTCACTGGGATTATAGGCATGTGACAACTTACTAGCTTCTAATGACCTCATCCAAAACTTCTTTACTTCTGCAAATACTCAGTCAACATCAAATGCATTCACACTCAGATATATTGGATGTTAAGACTTTAGATAACATTTTGATATACAATTATATTTATATTTTCATTGTATTGAGGGTTGCTTTGATGTGAACGAAGAAAGAATTCTACATTACTGAAGCAGAGATCTCAATATATGAGGAATTTAAAAGACAAGAACAAATTAAATTAGAACTCAAGTGAGTAGAAGGCAGGTATATTGGCACATTGTGTGCAACTGTCTTATAGCAACAATCGTACACTGGCCCTACCTTAGGATTTCATTAAACGTTATTTGAAGATAAGATGATTAAATATGTATAGAACAAATAGCCAGGTATGACTGAGGTGTATGATAGAAAGGAACCACAAGAATATGGGTAAGTGGGATTTAGAAAATTTTATACAACAAAGAAAATGAAGTGTAAGATGTATTTTTACACAGCTTCTGAGAATCCAGACTGCTTTTTCTCCTTTTGAATCCTTTCCTATTTTAGGTGGTAAAGTACACAATACACATTTAAACCTTCTAAATTACCACTCCAATGGTACCAGTAGATGTTAATATTTATATATTAGAATGATATATACCATCAAAATGTGATCAAAAATTTGAATTATCACAGAAATTAAAGCTTAAATATCAACAATTTGAAAATAACTGAATATTACAGGATGAAATCAAAACATGAAAAAAATATCGAATATCCAAGTTAATTTTTTGTTTCAATTTTCAATTTAAATACATCATCATGTAACATTATTTTATAATTTAAATTCTATTTTACCTAAATTTTTGTATTATTCTCAACAAAAAATTTAAGGAAAACTGATGGCCATAATCAGCTACTTAGATGCAATGCATATATTGTTGTTGAAATTTTGTTTTCATTTTTATAGGTAGAAATTGTTCAGTAATATTTGGTCAATGTCAACCACATATTTGTATCCACGGAAGCTGCAGCAACGTTACAGCTAATAGTTTCATTTGTGAATGTGATGAACAATTTACAGGTAAGAAATGCAAACATATGTATATGTTCATATATATTTCTATGTTCATATACATAGACACAAAAAATTAATTTTGTCTTAATTATTTCAAATTAAATTTGAATGTTTTATTTATTATTGAAAAAAATCAATGTTAGAGGTTATATACGGTGACTTATTATTATTCATGAATAAATTTTATAAGTCTATTTTGTGAATACAATCAGGTGATTATACTGGTAAGCTTTCAAGAATATAAAGGGAACTTGGACATCAGTTCCTACATCTTTTTTTTATCGTAACAAGGTATATTTTCTTTCTAACTACTAAAATATTTTTAGAAATTGCGCACATTTTGCAAATACATAGCATAATTACATCTACATTATTTCCTTAGATAACACCATTCTAAATCTCTTTTTTCTTTTTTTAAGCAAATTTGTAAAAATTCCTTCTCAAATTAATTTAAAGTAATGAGATGATATCATTTTTTAAGCTAATAGATTCTTAGCTGTTGGTTAAATGTTTCACCAAGG